GTAGTCAAGTGCCATGGTATAAGTGGCTTGCTATAATACCATTGCCGCACTTTAGCAACCTGCTCTTGCGGTCTTCTCCTATCACGTTGTCAGGTGGTCTCACCGTGTGTGCATCCACATGCATCCGGAACTTGAAACGAGCAAGCTTGTGGCAGACCCCCACGCCTGGTCGACACACCAACCCCGCTGACCCCGGACTCGCGAAGCGTCGAGCCATCATCATCCAAAAGAAGCACGAATTCTGCCGGTGAGGAACCCAGGGCTTTGGGTCTGCGGGAGCTTCCCCGATCCCTGTGCGTAGCGTGTGTGCACCGAAGGTCTGGGGTGACGCATGCACGTGTGAAGGCTGATAGGTTTCTTATTGTGGAATATGAACTTGCTTTTTTTGCTTTTCGTGGATACCGCTAGTGTGGCAACGAAACCCCCAAGGCTCTGCGTCTAGGCCTGCTCCAAGGGATGACGGATGCGGAGCAAATTTACCGCCGGAAGAATACATACATGTCCGAGCTGAATTATGCGAAGAGGAGAACATGGAACCATGACGCGAAGAGACACTTTGTTGCTGATGTCAGAGCGCTTCGAATGCGGGCGGGTTAATGCGGAGACGGGTGTGGGTGTTCTCCATCCCAGGGTGTCTGGATAACCCCACACGGCTGAATAGCGAAACCCGTCTCATGGGCTCACGGCCCTGTATCATCGGTCTGAATGTGAGATCTCATCTTGATTGGAAAGCTCCGTCAGTCTGGGTATCTTGTATACGACGAGTAATTGGAGACATACGAGCTTACCCCAGATGTAAGCAGAGCTTCCCCGATAAGCAACGCGCGTCGCGACAAAGTAAAGACATGGCAAAACTTGGCTTCGGCCGAAGTGTAAGGCGAAATTATTCTTCTGGAATCACACTGCAGATGTCCGTATTACTTTCTTCTTGTGGCCCTCTGCAACGACATCTAGGCGTTGTCCTGCAGCGTTGTCCTCGTCAACAGGCGCTTCATCCATCATCAACCCCTCAGTGGCGACTTCATCGTCTTCGATCCAGCCATAGAGCTCGTCGGAATTTGGCTCTGCATCGGCATGCTCATCGATCTCGGCGAAAGGTCTTTTGGGCGGTCGGTCTTCTTGTTGGCCATAGATAGGGGTTGTGATATCGTCGGCTGCTACGTTCATGTCGCAAAGACCAACCTGTATAGCGTCAGCGGGAGATGACCACAAAGGACGTTGGAGCGCATCTTGTTAGATGAGGGCTCTGCAGGTAATGTATTGACGCACATGGTCGATGGTGAAGGGTACCACGTTGCCCACACCCCCTTCTTCTGCCAGAGCTACGCCATTCGCCTTGACTAGGCCAGCAAACCGGGCTTTCTGTAACCTGTCGGCGTCTGCCTTGTTTCTGGCTTTCCCGTGCCGGAGCCAATCTCTAAAAAGAACCAGACGAGTGGAAATGCCATTCTCCCATTCAACACCTGATATTGCGGGTACCAACAATGCGCGCGAACCACCACGGATGCGTGTGATGGTCTGGCTTGTGATTAGGAGTGCACTGTCGTGCAGCGCAGCAAACTTAGTGAAGGTGGCTATCAGTTGATTTATGACAGTGTATCGGCGTCCTGCAGCCCACCGCGCCTGATCTGTTTTATTCCTGGGAATGCGGTCATCAACGTTGCGGGGGTAGGCGTTGTCGACGAGGGTCGCGAGAGAGTCGATGACAACCAGGCTAGTATTTTGCGGGGGGAAGGTAGTGGGGGCATGCACGAAGAGGGCCAGGAGATGTGCAAGCGTTGGCACAGGAATGTAGTGGAAGTGGCTACGCAGTTCCTCTGGGGAGACGTCGGACGCATCGGGGCGTGAAGTGAGCATGTCCTCGACGCGCTGCTTGACCAGAGGCGCACCAGCAGCATCTGCAAGCAATTAGTCGTTGTGTCCAATAACCAACGCTGATATGTACACACCGAGCCACACTACTCGCTGGCGCTCGCGCAGGGCAGAAACTGCGGCCTGTATCCTTGATGCCTTCAGCCACCGTCCCTCTAGAAGCCGTGACGCAGGCACATTTACCCAAATGCTGTCTTGCCGACTCCTGACGGGCCGAAGACCTCAGTCACCTTCCCACGCATGTATCCGCCCGAGACATGATGGCCCGGTAGGCTCGGTAGGGCGAGGACCTTGTCGAGCTGAGGCACGCCCGTCGACACAGTGCGAGCTCCGCGGGCATGGAGGCTCTGAAGGGCTTGGGATGCCGAGACAGTGGGCAGTCTATCTGCTGCAGTGTAAGCCTTCCGATTGATATGTGCGAGGGAGGCAGTTGCGTACGCGACGAGGGGGGGAGCTGCGATGCTTGCTGGCTAGCCATAGTGTGTCGTCTTGTGTCGTGTCGTGGCTTGCGATTGAGTCTCAGCGGCTTGACTTGGTGGTGCAACAGTCTCGTGATTTCGCGTTCACGCGCATGACGTCTCGCGTTTCTTGACGTGTCCTGTGCGGAACGGGGTGGACGAGAGGTGTCGAGTAAGGATGGGTGGTGTGGTGTCCAAGTTATTTCGTCACGAGCAATAGCGAACCGCGGTTCATGACTCGTACGCCCTCTCCCTTCGTCATCCCATGCTTTCTCACCATTGCACCCATCTTGTGTCAACAGAGTATACTGCAACACGGTCTCGAACCACCTGGTCCTTCATACTTATACGAGAACACCTGCCTTCTGCGTCCTAGCGTCAACCAATTTGCTTGGACTTATACCTTGGCATGTTTTCACGATAAGAGCTGCTTCCTCAGGCTTATATCCCCCTTGTGAACACGCAACACTTCCTTCCTCCGGAGACGACGTGAACATCTACGACACCATGGCGCAAAATGTTGAGCACATGCTCATTGCTGCCAATGACATACTGCAGGAAGCAGGCATCAACATAACGCTCCAGACGATCCTCATCACGACCGTATCATGTATCGCACCTGTGATACTTTTACTCCTTCTTGCCACCCTCAAATCGCCAGCATCACTGCCATCACCAGCCGGCTGCAGGAAACTCGGAATCCGAGGACGCAGCAACCTGGAAGACCAGTACTCGAAAAGATATGCCAAGGGCGGCGACCCCACCCCACAGAAGCCATGGACAGTGAAGGCTCTCTTTGTCTACCCGCTAAAGTCGGGCGCACCTGTCGAATTGGATAAGAGTGATATCGATCGTACAGGGCTGAAGTATGACCGCCAATTTACTCTTGCCCAACAAGTCACGAGTCTGCCTACGCTTGACGGAAAGGTCACAAGTGAATGGCACTTTATGACCCAAAGAAAGTTCCCTCGCCTTGCTAAAGTCGAGACTGAGATTTGGGTACCTGACCCTTCGGCTAGAGGCTACAAAGAAGATGGAGAATGGGTAAAGAGCGATGGATGTCTGATAATTCGGTTTCCTTTTTCTCCCGACACGGATTTCACTTTGGAAGGCTTGATAAACTACGGAAAGATTATGTTGGCGAAATTGGGCCGACAATCGGAGCCGACACTGGAGTTTAGAGTTCCGTTCAACCCTCCACAAGAGAGGATAGAGAAAAAGGGATATCGAAATGAAGTCCTGCGCATCTGGAAGGACAGCCCAGTAGCACTCAACGTTAGCTCGGAAATTGACCGCGAGGTATTCGAGAAGCTGAGGTATACTCTCGGTGCGGCAAATCCAATTGCGCTGTTTAGGATTGATGCAAATGCTTACCGAGAGGTACACAAATGTGCGCCTAAGAAGGAAGACGTTGGGTTTGAGACGGTCATCGGAATGCATGACTCGGTACGTATAGACCTTGCCAACAGCCATATCCTTGGACTACCCATGGGCATACACCAAGCTCATTGCTAATCATCTGACAGTACCCTGTTCATATCCTGAACCTCGCCTCTGTCCACGACGTAGCATCTAAGCTTCCCAATCCCTCCTCCGATTTTGGGGAAATCTGGCAGCGGCATCTTACCCTCCTTGACGCCTTACGCTTCCGCGCAAACATCTATATCACTGGACCCCCTGCTTTTGCTGAGGATAACTGGAAGAAGGCGAAACTTACTTCATCCGATTCTACATCCTCCCTAGACATGCACATCTCCTGTCGGACAACAAGATGCAAATTGCCAAACGTTGACCAAAAAACCGCTATAGCCGACAAGAACGAGCCATTGACCACATTGAGGAGTTACAGGATCATCGACCAAGGATCCAAGAATGCCTGTTTGGGTATGCAAGTCACGCCATTGGATATGGGAACCGTCGCGGTAGGCGACAAGATCGAAGTGCTAGAAACTGGGAAGCATTTCTTTGATGGAGGCGAGGGAAAGAAGGTTGATGGTTGAGCGGTTTCAGAAGCCTTTAGGAGAACAAAGCTCGTTCGCAATACAGAAAATTGCCCTAGTAGACCCCTCACATAAGCCTCTCATCATCTCCGATTCGTTCGCAGCACGCTTTACCCTACCCGTGCTGATAGCTTCTTAGATCATTAGCCATCCCCATTTTTTCTCCCACTCTTCTTCCATCCTCCAACCACTCGGATCCCAACACGCGCACCCTATGTCGATAGTAAAACTTGGCATAGTAAAAAGATCCTTGCATAACTCCTCTTCATCCACCACACCTCTTAGTCTTATCAAACTATCCCGCATTCGTGGAAATGGTAGCCGATCGATCCACCGTGGGTGCACAATCATCTGTTGTAGCTCTGTCGGATGTAGGGGCAAAGGGATATGCGGCTTTGGCATGGGTGTGCGCGAGGAGTATGATATGGCGCAGGTGATGCCTTGGATATCGCCGTTCATATAGAGCGCAGAAAACACAGTCAAGGGGGTGGAGATTTGAATAAAAGGAGATAGAGTGGCGTATGGTTCTGAATACAGTGTGTAATTTGGATTGGAGACAAGTATTTCCGACTCTTGGTTAAGTTCGCTAATACGTGACTTGTTGGAGTAACCAGGTGATGGCAAAAGTGAGTTTGAAGCACTAACAAGTGCGAGTGAGTTATGATCATCCTCAATTGGGGCCTCCAGTGTTACAAGGGCCCTTGGAGATGTTGGGTATTGGTCTTGGGGCAGTCGCGCTACTGACAGTCTGGTATCCAGCTGAGCTTGTCGTAATCGCTGCCCTGTATCTCGAGTTAGTATCATCATACTACACATGCGGCGATTCATACATACGTCGCGCACGTTGTGCTAATCGGTCTTGTATTTGCTTCCTCTTCTTTGCATCTCGAACATTTCTCCATTCATCATCCTTGGGGTCTGTTCTTCGTACCATGTTGTGATACTACGCAGTTTCTAGCGTTGCTGGTATGACCTGTCTTTGCTGGAGTGTACGATTGAACAAGAGTTGGCTAGAGTGGTTCGATAAGGCGTCCATCATGCTTACAAATGGAAGTATAGGCAACAGGTCACTGCGCCAGTTGGCGTAGGCCTCGCATAAAACACCATTATATTGAAGGACCGGAAAACTTGTCACTGAGGTCTGTATTATGCATGATTGATCTCTAAAATCCTTGCGCACATTGTTCTGCAAGTCTGTCGCGTACAGAATCGAGCTTCAGAAGATAAATTGGGGCTGTTTTTCATATCTGCTCAACAAGAATGAACATATCTTGTTTTACAAACCACAAGCACAATCCTGACTATTAGCTGATTGGAATGGTCTGCGTATCCGTGGACACTTGAGCATGTGCTGATTGCTGCATTAGAAAGAGCGATGCCCATCCATGACATACATCGTCTTCAACCTTTTGTGTACCACTCTAGGTCATATCGGCAGACTGAGTATTTCAATCTACTTGGTCATCGGAAGTCTACGTTCACAGGGGGACATGACGCAGCGATGGGCAGATGGAAGCCAGCCTTCATAACGTCCAAGACTAGGTACGGCGCTGCTTAGTCATCGTTGAGGCATCCAACCCCTGCCGTGTCTTTTCGGCATTGCTCCTACTCCAACATTTCGAACCTCTCGCAATCGCTTCATAACTTCACGTTTAGCATCCGATAACGGTTTTGCAAAAGGACTCGTCACCCCTACGTCTCAATGCGTTATCAGCCCCTCAAGAATGTTGCCAACCACTTATGACGGCTGCACAGCCTGTTGGGGGCCAATATGGCTTCCGAGATGTGAGGCTGAGTTCTCACGCGCATCTCTGGGTGCGACCGACCCCAACCAGAGCAAACTGGTGCCTTATACATCTGGACTGATCTCATGCTCCTGACATCTTTCGCGTCAAGCCGCGCGTCAGACAATGATGCGGCATGGCGGATCCATTATCCATTACTGCTAGTATTATCACGCTTCTACACGTCTCTGTTCAAGTGACGGTGCTGATCAAACAGTTTCGCGATGAGGTTGTGGTCGTGGATGCGACGCTTACGGGCCTTCTCGACGATGTGAACGGGTTCCAACGCGTACTGGAATCCATGAAAGAGACAATCGAGGAAAACAACAACAAAGAAACTCTACAAGCGACCGGCCATGTGGGTAGTCACTGGAAGAATCTCGCGCGCTCGCTAGAAGACGGTGCGGACGCTTTACAAAAGTTACATACCACCTTAGACGGGGTCAACAAAAAGTCATCGATATTGGATGCACCACGAAAGCAGCTTAGGCTAAAGAGTGCCTCTGAGCAGATTTCTCGATATCGAGAACAGATTCAAACATCTCACACAACGATTCAACTATCGCTCAGTACAATTATTCTGTAAGTGAGTTCTCCTGAGGACGTTTGTTACCCCGCTCTCAGCCTCCTCCATGCCATCACGTGGCTGCTATCACTGCTTATTCCACTTGTGTTGGAGCACGTAGTGCAAACCAGTATACCCCCTAATGCATAATGTTCGTTTTGTGGCTCTCATACTGACACAAAACTCAGCTGGAATCAAGTGACTTTCCAAAGATCGACCGAGATGATACCAGACAAGGTTGTTCCAACACTGGATAAACTGTACGATGAATTTCGTACGTTTGGTGCTCTTCTCAATACAAAGATCGAAAAGCTTCAGCATACAGTTACAGACCAAAATGACCCAGACAACTACGAGCTTATGTATATGAACAACTTGCGGGAGTGCGTTCGCTCAGCCGCTGATGTCGTCTCAACTGCATCGACAACGCTCAACGCAGAAACAAGTGACAAGATTTCCGTCAAACATGGCTCTGATTTCGGGGACGTCTTTGTCAAAGATGCGAATGAACCCATGTTACGTTGGTTCGCCTCAAACACCGTGTATGAATTCGAAGATGTGGAGGCACCTCTACCCGCTCCATCAGAAGCTAGCACAGGAGATGCGCAAACAGAGTATCAGTCAGATAGCGACTCAGATATAGAGAATGACCTGATCAGGTCTCTTTTCAACGAGGGTAGAAAAAGGAAGGACATTGGTGATCTAGAAAGTGCGGTTCGCTATTTTCGAAACTGCCTCACGAGGCTGTCGTCGAACACTAGCTACACATCTCTGACCTCAGCAAGAAGTGCAGCAGCATGCGGGGTGTCGAAAACCGACTTACTCGAATGTCTCTTCGATTGCTACTGTCTTCTGGAAGCGTGGAGCAAAGCGAAAGCAATCATGAAAGATAAGCTACTCATCACTGAACGCCAATTAGGCAAGAAAGATGAGCTCTATCTACGAGATACTCTGAGGCTAGCCGAGCTCATGGTGAAGAACGGCGAATACGTCGAGGCGCACCTCCAGGCACGGCGATCACTGGGAGGATTCAGGAAACTGGGAAAACAGGGAGGTAGTGGTTACGAAGAATGCTTGGACTTTTTGATTCGAATCTGTAGCACTGAGGGAAAAGTGGATGAGGAAGAGGCTTACACAGCTTTGTTGGCAAGCCACGAGAGGAAGACCAAGCGATCAGCTCCATCGCCCGAGGTTATATCGCTGTCGCACGTTAGCCCAAAGTTTCAGTCAGCTTCCGACCCGGTCTTAGAGGATGTCGCTCAAGCAGATTTCGAAGTTTCAGAGCAAGTGAAGGAGACGCTGGATCATGTGCATGTCTTGGAGAGTAATGGGGTGCCACTGATAGACACAGAGGATTCGAGTGTGCTTTCACCTGGTGAACTCCAAGTTCAGGATCAGACCGTGCTGCAAGAGGACCCAGAGCCTGTTACCGAAAGAGACAAGATTACATCAGAACAACAGCCCTCGTGTATCTCCAGACCTTACTCACCTACGGAGGATCTAAGCGTTCGTCTGGATTACGAGACGAAATCCCTGTCTAGTCACAGTGTTACATCGTCGGAACAGCACGCTATGACTTTGGCGTCACAAGAGCAAGTATGTATGTTGCACAAGCCGTCTGATATATGCGGGCTAAGTGTCGTTCCGCAGTTACCAACTATGCTGACCCCAGTGGACTTTGGAGATATTTCACATCTTGAGGGTTACGGGGCTCAAATCGCAGCTGCTGAGTTCATTTGTATGCTATACCGAGCTGCAGCAAACGAAGTGACAGAGAAAGAGTCGAGGAACTCAAGAAAGGATGCTGAGTTCCTAAAAGCATGGTGTAATCTGTTCCACGGCCGAGATCCTTACTACTTCTCTGAATGGCATGTTGAGGGTTATTACTGCATGATCAAGATCAATGATACGCACGGCTGTACGGTTTCGGGCCACGAGACCGAACAAAAGGCAAAAGACGCTGCTGCCGCTAAAGTGTGTGAGATGTATATCTCTCACGCCGACGAAGTACTTACGCTGGACAAAATGACGCGACGCGATCCTGGCTCTGACAAAGAAGTTTTTATCCCGCAAAATGACCACGACATTGAAATACTTATGGGATGGGGAGAGGAAACGGATGCATCATTCTATTCCCCGGTTACAGATACGAACATACCTCATATTACCATATCAGCAGAAACAGACGAACTTCCTACTGGTAATGGCGAGGCGGCGACACCTACCTCCGAGGAGTCAATAAATCCGTCGAAGGTGCAGCACAATGCATCTGATTCCAAAATATCTTCCAACCAAGTGGCAGGACAAGGGTTTGTCGAGAAGTTTCTAACAAGGTCGTACGCCGCATTAAGAGGCACGAGAGCACATCACAGCGCTGTCGCAAGCGTCTCGACGATTCCATCAAACGATAAGGAACCCCAATGGACTCCTGGTGATACTCATCTCTCGACTTCTGCAGAGGTATGTTTATATTGCGATAAGGATCTATCTGAACTCCCCTTTCCTTCGCAACGTAGACACAGAGACGGTGCATGTACACTGCATACCTCGAGGAGAAGTGTCTCGAACCCCATGAATGTCAGTTCTTCTTCAGACTTATCTAGAGACGATACCTCAACCCGTCTCATCAGTAACATCGACGCGACCACTTTTCCATCTCAATCCTCACAGTTCCAATACGTCGGGCAGGAGACGATTACAACAGTGTCTCCTTCGGCAGTTCAGCCTTCCTCCTTGGGCAACTCTACCGCACCGGAAGGCACATGGGCGTGTAATGAATGCAAATCAGACCTTCTTCAGTACATGAGTGAAGGTCGGTGTCGCTCATGTTTTGCCAACAGAAACGATTATTCTCCCAGCTCGACCAACGATTTTGCGCGTCTACCATATGATCGCCACCAGACACCGTTGAATTTCCTGAACTTGAACGCACCAAAAGGTGCAATAACACGACGGAAGGTGATACTACTAGGAGATACATTATGTGGTAAAACATTCCTCGCAAGTGCATGGAGTCAAGGGGATGTTCCAGAAGAAGACACACCTGTGATGAACCACTTCATCAGATCGACAAAGATTAGGGATCGTCAAATCGAGCTTGTCATCTGGGATAACACCGGTAGAGAGGGTTACGAGATGATGCGCCGCCTTTCATACGAGGATGCGCACATAGTATTGATTTGCTTCGACATCAGTGATCCAGATTCGTTTGAAAACATTGACTATATGGTATGTTCAGATAAGCGCCAAAAGTATGAGTAAATTGGGACTGACGATACTAGTGGAGCGTTGAAGCGAACGAATACCTCCGCGATCTACCCAAGATACTCGTTGGGTGCAAGAAAGATCTCCGGAATGACAACGCGAAGCTCGACAGCCTACGCCGTCAGCACTTCATACCGATATCTCCATATGCTGTAAGTCTGGATCGGTAGGATGTACGTCGCATACTAACCCTGGATGCAGGCTGACCGGCTTGCAATAAAAATACAAGCCCTAGCGTACTTTGAAACATCGGCCATCAAGAAGCAAGGTCTCTCAGAGCTCTTCGACTACGTAGCTGAGGCTGCCTTGAGAACGGTTCCAAAGTCCAAGACAAGTGGTATAAGAAAGGCTCTCTCGAGGGGAATATAGGCTTAGTACTTCGAGCTAGGATGGTGCCGAAAGTACTCTTGTGACCTATCCTCACCAGTTACTGTGTACTATGAAGAGCCACAGGAGCACGATTAGTGCTGCAAAGTGTCGGGATGATTAGATAGCGACATGGTCATCATATCAGCATTATTTGCGTTCAAACACAGACATTTCTTCCGAGGAACAATCTCGTGCGCACGGCTTGGCCCTTGGGAGATGTTTCACAAACTGACTTGGTTCTGCAACACCTTGAACCTACCGGAGATGCCAAAGTACTAAACGATTTTATGGCCTAGCGAACAGGTTAAGCACAACAAGGAGTATAAACTTCAGCCACATGCTACGTGAAGCAACAGACGAGCTCACCAGGGACGACTTGGCCGGCACTTTACGTTTAGGGATCGTTAAGCTATGCATTCACCTGAATTGTCTAGCAGCTCTCACAACTGCATCACCTGATACTCGTTTGCTTATGGCGATGATTCAATGAAGCCTTTGTAGAATCAAGTTGGGTTGGAGGTGGATGTCGATTTGCCTTCGTGTTAATGGATGAGTATCACCGTGGGGCTGACAGCATTTGCGGGGTAGCATACGTACCTGCCTTGGTAGATAGCGATCCCGAACTATGCCGTCAAACGTACAACAACCCTGCAACCTTACAAGTGTTCTTGAAAATCCCAAATTTAGTGCAAGGAAGATGCGGAAGTTCGAACATCAACCTGACAAGGGCGGCCCGAAAGGAAGCGCAAAGGCTAGAATACAGCTGCCGATAGCGCAACCAGCTGCTAAACCGGCGACAAATGGGTCTTCAGACTCACCAAACATCACCTCGTCAAGTACAGATCCTTACAAAGCAGCTCGCGAAGCTCTCGATCGCGATGGCTTCGTCGTTCTATCTGCCTCGCTATTTCCGTCTTTTGATCTTGACGCCCTTCGCGCCGCTGCCTCACGCATGACAGAAGCAGCACGATCTGGAAAGTGGCCGTATATACGTACGCTACCGAAGCAGTTTCCACCATGGCCGCAGGACCCTTCAAGTGGGATCTGGTAAGTATCCCATCCTAACTGTATTTGAGACATACATTGACTTTGTATGTCGCACTTAGGGGCGTCCAGCATCTACTCCACCCATCGAATTCAGATCATCTTACGTTCGCAAAGTCGTATTTCGACAGCGAGCTGCTGAAATACGTCGGAGCACTAATTGGTTGTGGAGAAGACGACCTGACCATGGAGCTGTACAACATGCTCGTCCGGCCGGATAAAGATTTCAGTCTGCGGTGGCATAGAGACGACATCGCAGCGACAGCAACATCAGAAGAAGAGCTGGAACGACTGCAAAAGCCAGGACATCACGCACAGTGGAACCTTGCACTGTATGATGACAGCAGTCTGGTCCTTGTGCCTGGCTCGCACAAACGTGCACGCACTGACACAGAGAGGAACGCGGATCCGTACGAAGCACATATGCCCGACCAGCTTACTGTGCATCTGAAAGCGGGGGAAGTTGCATTCTACAATAACAACATTCTCCATCGCGGCGTATACGACAGCACGAAAGAGAGGATGACGCTGCATGGCAGTATCGGGACAACGCTGGCTGGGAGCGAACGAGCGAGAAACGTGCTACAGCACGGTGTTGGTGACTGGGCGAAGGAATACAACTTTGACGATTTTGAACCTGAGATGGCCGCAAGAGCGAAGAAGATGAGAGAGAAGCTTGTGGAGATGGGCAAGGAAAGTGGGGATGTCGGCTTCTTCTCGAAGGATGAGTGAGCTTGTCATAAGAAAAGTGCATGTGACAGGGGACTCTGGATGGTGTTAAGAACGTCATCAACTGAGCCTGTTATTGAGCGTATGCTCTGGAGGAGTACCTATCCTGCATCTCTCTTGATGTTCCAAAGCGAATGTAGCCGATACTGTCGACGGAAATCTTAGCATGGCTTCGTAATAGAGAAGAGGTCGTATAGTAAACTCAGTTTGGTGACAGAGTAAAAGACCTCTTGTAGCAATAGACGCAGACTCAAGTGCGTTGCAGAAGACACCATACCGACATGCTCGACATTACTAAGTTGTATTAAAAACAACATGTGGGCTTGAACACGACGAACCATCGCGCCACTTCGAGAGCCTCGATGTATTCAGCAAAGTTGTCGCTTAGAGAGGGGTAGCTTAGTACTACATATCAGTAGTGTTCCAGACCCACAGCCCAGTCAAACCCTTCACCACCCCTGAACAACTCCCCACTCTGCTTTGAACAGTCCAGGTTTTGCTCACGGACGTCTGGTCTCTACAATGCAATAAGAATATAAAGACTCCAGCCGGCCAGATTTCCATCAAACAACCACTCCTAGTTGTTTAGATCTCCAACATCAGCATCGGTGGTTTAGTGGTAAAATTAGCCGTTGCCATCCATCACAGGACAGTTTCGGCTAGCCCCGGGTTCGATTCCCGGCCGATGCATTTTTGCTGTTGCACAGGCCGTCGTGAGTGTCGCGATTGTCGTAGTGGTGGTGTTGATTGAGAAATTTGTCTTTTTGTAAACACCCGCGGACGTCACGTGTCGGTGGGGCTCAGTCAACGCCAATCGCTGTTTGACGACGCGCCAAAAACTTCTAACAGCGGGGTATGCTGCAGGCGCTCGTCACTATGTTTCGACTTTTTTGTTCTCCAGTTTTGCGCCTAGTGGTCGGCTCCCAAGCTGGCACCGTGTCGAATGCGATTTTGTGAACCGACAATATATACAGAACATTTCGCCTCAGTCTTCTATACTTCCTAAAGAGGAGCCTTGGCGCAATGGTAGCGCGTTGGTTTTCGGTTGAAAACATAAACACCAAAGGTTGTGGGTGTAAGTTTCTCCATTAGGCCGATAGTTCGAGCATCCGTACTAACATGATATAGTCGATCCCCATGGGCTTCGCTTGCTTTCTTTTTGCCTTTTTCTACGCTTTTGCCGCTTCCCGGGACACGGAGATACATCTCAGACGTGTTTGATGCTCTGATTTGTTGTCGCCGTAACTGCTGTTCTTTTTGCAATCTCCACACCCATCACCAACGCCTCCTCTCTCGCGTTTGAGGCAGAGTACGAGTCACGGTAATTGAGTATACATCTGACGAGCGGCTGTCCGCGATGCCAAGTAGGCTTTTGACGATCTCCTTCTGCTCCCGGTGGCTGAACGGGGGATGATGTACGGCAAGGAAATTGATCGCGAGACCGACGGCAATCGGCCTTCATGTTTCACACATATACACCCGTCCCAGCGACCAGGTTGCCCTCTATTAAGACAATTCAGACAGGCAATCTGACGCACATAAACAAACCTGCGTCATTCTGAGTGAGATTAAGGTTCGGGAGATTGTGATACCCGTTCTTGTCGATCAGATAACCTTGGATCTGAAACCACGGTGAGCAAAGTGTGGATATACGATTCAACGGTCGATGCTCGCTGGCTCCTCAACGGTACAAGGCTGACGTGTCGCTCCGTGATGTCATACCAGCAAGATCAACAACGGTAAGGTTTGACGCAACAGTCCGACGATCTTTATGATTGACCAGACTTCTTTGCGTTTTGAGCTTCGCCAGAGCTGTACCTGCCTTGACTCGACTGCCCAAGAAGTAGTCACGACTGAAAAGCAATCTTCTGGTCACCACTAGGACTTGCACCAGCTTACTCACTCAAAAGCTAGTTCGATGCATGGAGTTGACGAGAACGATAACGCGAATGACAGTCCGATCGTAATGGTCACTTCGAGAGGTCTAGCCTCGCAAGTGTCAGCGCTATATACCGCCTTCTCTTCTTACCCAGTAAGTTGACACAAAGTAGGCAAGTACCATCTCCTAGCCAAGGAGTCCGTCAAGTTCTTCGTGCGTTGTGAGTGATGGAACACGCCGACATGCTCGTCTTGTGCAACAATGAGACTGAACGCTTGTGCGCAGGCAGGCACACGGTTGACTGCAGCAGGACAGAAGTTCCAGATCCGTGGCGCTCAGTTGCATGAACCTTCGAGATGCCGCAGACAGCGGCCGACGGCAATCGACGATTAGAGGAGAGATCCAAGCCACAAACACTGAGCCCAGACACGCCCCGATTGGCTATAGCGGTTGTAGAGTCGCAGGCTGCGTCATTAGTACAGAGCTCTATCTTGTGTGACGTTGATCAGAGTAGCCACAAAAGCTTCGTCGCGCGGGCTTGGCCGGTCTAGACAGCAATTGGGCTTTTGTGGGGTGCCAGACGGGTAGGCTGACAAAATACATGATTGGTGGGTTGCTAGAATTTTCTCCCCGAAGAATCGTTGGGAATGCTTCAGGTAGATGGACGCGTGGAGGCAAGAGAAGCAAACTGGGGTCGCGTGTGACGAGACACGATTATATGTTCGTGGTTGCCGCGGATGGACAAAGACCAACTTTGGATTGCATCACAGCCATGGAAAGATCTGGACTGCGTGGAGATGTTGAATCTTACAATACCCCAGATATGCAGTGGAGCAATCCGGGAGCTGAGAGCTTCTGGACAACCCACCAACCGGCCAATCAGTCAACCAAGTCTTGTTATTGTTGGAAAGAGAGTCAGGTAATGTAGAGAACATTTCGTCTCAATGCCGGAGTCGCGTCTCAGTACAGAGCCGATGAAAATGTGATCCAGAGGGACGGTTCCTTGCGATTACGTCCGCAATCCCGCCAGCTCGGAGAGCTAGCTTCAATATGCGCGAAGTCAATTCTAAATGCGTTGTGCTAGAGTTTAGCGGCAGGCATCAGTAGCAAACGGTGCTCTCGGGGTTCACTGCCGAGGGACGCGAGGAGAAATAATGCACACAAGGACGTGATGGCGAGGACGCATGGTGGTGGTGATGGACGGTTCCCGAAGAAGCAGGAGATTTTCGTCGATTTCTCCACACGAGTCGTTGATTGGTCACCATGCCCAAAATAGAAGTTGCACTGATCGTGTCTCTCTGACGATCGCGTCATCCTGGCGAGAAAAGCGGGACGTTAAGAATATGGTGCAACACCGACAGCCAACCCGCCCTCCAACGCCAGAAGATACGAAGACGCGCACGACTGCTTTGTGTGCACAGACACGAGGACAATGGCAATGGGCAGGACTGCAATTGCGCAATTACAGGAAATGATGTTGTGCCTCTCCAATGCACATCAAACAGTTCTCATTTCGCTGAGCCGAGCATCCTCGTCCCGTTCCCCACGCCTTGGGAACATCGCAATCCGCGAATTTCATCACGGGATGCGATCCTGCACGAGTCTCGCGGAAGGCCCGACGTAGTGCCGCGGACCCTCTGAAATGGTGCCATGCATGTGCAAGCAGCAACGCCTGGCCTAGAGGACCTGGCATAGTCGTCCCGCCAAATAGCAAAGGGACGGGAGACTGGCGCGCAGAGGAGCGGGGTACAGACATGTCGGTGAAGCATCGAGACGGCGAGAGTTGGGCCATGGAGCATCGTTATCGCAGCCGGCCAACTAACTGATGTGCCCACCGCTACTCACCAACTGCTGCAAACGGCTGAGCCGCAGGTGCGCTGTGTGGGTCGCGCCCGGGTCGCGCAAGCGGATTGGCCGTGGAGCTCCCCTCGCAGGTGCGAATTCGTAAGTGTTTACCAGATCGCGTCGTATCTGCTCGGCCTAAACGCAACGCGTCGAAGCACACAACCCACGACAGGACAAGTTGCACGCAGTTATCATAGGTCGGCCGTGGTTGTTTCGTGGGCGCTAGAATGCGCATCATGATGCGCGCCTGCCAGACCCTTTGCCGGCTCGGAATTGGCCCAGGCAGCCGTGATGTTGGCATCAACTTCTGCAGTGACCCGTTGCCATGCAGCGAGAAGCTTCCGAGAGGCAGGGTGGGAATGTCGCAGGATCAGCATGTGGTTAGAGGTGCAAATTGGCCGCCGCGATATTGTTCCCTATATCGGCTACGCCCGAGCACTATATATGACTGGGGGAGCGGCCAGGGTCAAAGTGAAGCTGGCGAGGGTCGTGTTGACATGTTCTGTTCACAACGTCGCTGGTCGGGGGCGGATGAAGCTCAACGGGCCATCGGCTACCAAGATTTGCGTGAATACGATGGACAGATAAGCCGCGCCAGGGAAGTGGCCCTGAGTGAAGATGGAAGGCAGCGGCCACGAAGGCGCTGCAGACCTGCGACACGCTGGGCGGGCGCAGACAGACGGTCATGGCATAAAGACGCTGCTGCACCGTGGCGAGGCAGGGCAACGTGCAACGTGCTCGTTGTCTGGCGTGAGGAAGTTATTGAATCTCCTAGACCTAGCCGCGCCCGTCCGTGCGTGCTCCAGAGGCTAGTGCGGCCCCTTTGCCTGACAACCTCAACTCTTCACCGCGACGGCCAAACTTACTCTCCCTCTATTATTTCCTTTTCTGCTTGCTTGTTGAATCGCACGTCGTTCTTAGCAGCAGAAGACCGACTCACGCAGACCGACCAATGCAGGCTTGAACAACTGCTCGGGAGGCTTGGTACACGCTGCCATCTCCGTCGATTCACGACAGCCTTCCCAGCGCTTGACGACGTTACATTCTATTCTCTGTTTTAATACCTTCTCTGTTTTGTTTCATAGCAGGTACATATCCCCTAGATGCCCGTCACCACGACATGAGCCCGGCGACAAGTCTCGAGCCTCCCCAATGCCGCACCCCAAGAGGCCACACCCTCGTCTCCCGCCTTCCGTCCGCGACTCTGCTCACAGTGCCCATCGCTCCATGACCCGCATCCACACCCGCCCCCGTAGAGTCACCCTGCTAATCCTGTGAC